TTGTGACAACTCTGATTATCGAAAACGTCGTAACAGAAAAACAAAAGTCATCAAAAATATTCCCGTCAACGAAAGACAAGCATTCAATGTGTATAATCCAATAGTTGATAAATAAAGTATCAAAGCTCGATTGGAACTTTAATTAATTAAAATTTGCATCCAAACTGACAATTTTTTTATCTTTTAAACTGAATCATCAAAGTATTCTTTAGCCTTAAAAAAAAAAATGACAAGTTAAGTATTTTAGAGCAACAACATTTGGAACGCTCAACGGTCATTTTCAAGTTGAAGAATAAAATTTTTATCAAGCGCTATTATAATCAATTGAGACAATACTAATGAGATACCGACTAAAACTCTTAAATATTTACATAGAAGCAATACGAGAAAACTGAGGCAAGAATGACAAAAAACGCTTAGACAAAAGAAACTATTAAAACCCTTCCTCTTTTGAAATGACAGGAAAAATTTGCGTTTATGTGCCATATCGAAGAAAAATTGGAAAACTAAAACAAGATGCCTGCTTTCTATAAGCGCTATGTCGATGACACCCTTAGCAAAATGCCCGATGTTTCATGTGCCTCCGTTTTCTTGTCAACACTGAATGAAATCCACCCTTCACTCAGTTTTACAATGGAACTCGAGAACAACGGCAAACGGCTCTCTTGGAATGATGATTATCAGAAATAGTCCGCGAAAAGACACGAAGGTCTATGTGAAACAAACTGGTACTGGACTTTATTACATTACCAAAGCCATGTTGACGAAAAGTACACACATTCTCTGATGAAGAAAATGTGAAACCGTGCTTTTAAACTCTCCTCGAGCGGGATGTCTTTCCATCAAGAATGTCAACTTCTGAAAAAAGGTTTTTCTCGCCTGCATTATCCTGAAACTCTCGTAGAGAATACCATCAGACATTTTATTGAAATGAAAGTCACTGAGGATGTACGTACTAAACAACAAGTGTTCGATGAACATGATGCTTTTATCAGAATTTTCTTACCGGTCAAAGCCCAGAAATCAGAAAATGTGGTAAGACACCAACTCGGTGATCTCAGCCGAAAGATTGATGTCGATGTCCAGTTGTTTACACAAGTCAGAAGATCAAAGGACAATTCAAGCCGAAAGAACACTAAGTTCCAATTGTTAATCAACAAAAACGTTGTTTATTATTTTAAGTGTGGTCTGTGCGTTGCAGACTATGTCGGCTTCACGAGCCGACCCTTTCATTAACGTGTGGAGGAACACAAGCGATCAACAATTGGCAACCACGTAAAGACGTAAAGGACGAGCAGGGAAAGGATCCTGATACCAGAGAAATAATTTTCAAGATTTTGGAGAAATGTCTGAGTAAACTGGACTGTTTGATCTTTGAAATGCTTTTTATTCTCGAACTTAAAGCAAAACTGAAAAAACAGAGTGATTCTATCCGTGCAAAAGTAGTTACCTAATCGATTCACTTTTAATATTGTTTCTTTCGCCCCAGCGTTTTTTATCATTCTTGCCTCAATTTTCTCGTATTGTTTCTATGTAAATATTTAAGAGTCTTAGGCAGAACTCATTGGCATTTTTCTATTGATTATATAAACGCATGACAAAAATTTTCATCCTTTAACTTGAAAAATGATTTTTGAGCGGTCGAAACGTGGTTGCTTTTTAACGTTATTTTTTATAGTAGAATACTTAACTTGTTATCTTTTTTTTCGAAGGCTGAAGAATACCTTGATGATTCAGTTGAAAAGAGAAAAAATTGTCAATTTGGATGCAAATTTTAGTTAATTCAAGTTCCAATCGAGCTGTAACACTTTATTTATCAACTATTGGATTTTATATAATAAGCTCAGTTATGCACGCATTCTGATTGGTTCTCACTTATGATCTATTGGAGGACAGACGCATAGATGACGTCATCGTTAAAACTTTTTTTTTAATTCTTTATTATATAAAACAAGTAGATTCCAAGTTGCCGTGAACAGACGCACGGCAATTTGGAATCTATTTGTTAAATACACAGTGAATGCTTGTCTTTCGTTGACGGGAATATTTTTAATGACCTTTGCTTTTCTGTTACGACGTTTTCGACAATCAGAGTTGTCACAACTTAACATAAGCAGAATATCATTAGGGGCCAAACTCAAATAGAGCGTATCGTGCATGAACAAGCCATAACATGCAGGCAGTTATTTGATGGTCACCTAGTGGGCTCTAGACCGATGAAAAACAAAGAACAAATGCACTCAAGGAGTCTTCATGATGGACGATAAATAATGAAGAGAGAGAGTCAACAAAAAAAGGCGTAATCTTTTCTCAAGAAGGCTTAATTGGGATGCAACTCAATGCCCGTCCCCTCCACCCAACCCATCAAATGTGCCAATATTTGGCAACTTATAATTAATCATAAATGATACCTTATTACGATTCAGTGGGAGGTTTCTTACACACCAACAATCGCTAGCAAAAAAAGATTCAGTGACGACGAGTTCTCTTTATGTAGACATACCAAACGAGCTATGCCGAGAACATTGATTTGTCCTATAAGTCAAACAAAATAATATTCTAAACGTTTGCACCTTTTTAGAAACTGTTTGATAAGATTTCAATATAGAATGGTTTATTCACTTTTGTTCCTAGCTACTCAAGAGGCATGATTTTAGTGTCTTTACTTTGCAGTTTTGAACCCAATCATTTCTCATTTGAATTTGTGATGCAATACTAACTTTTTAGTTTCAACCTCTAACGTTCATGTTAAAGTTAATCTTTATTCAGTATTATCTTACTACTATGGGAAGCTTTTCTGAAGTTTGGAAATAATATGTTCGTACTATCTCTGAAACATTTGACAACTTTAAGATTAAATGATACCCCTATGGAAGGTACGATGGATAAAGGAATATTTGTCAAGTTTGAAGAAAAACTACGCATCGCATTTTTTTTTTATTGCAACAAATACCCTGGCAGAAAATATTTATTATCATAAATAGATCTTTTGCTACCTTTGCAGGAAAATAAAATTCTAAATATTATATTTTCGATCGACTGATGGCTACTAGTAAGTGAATAAAAACCTATTGAAATGATTAATATTGTGTATAAAGATATATGTCAACAAACTTTATCTCAACATTACAGCACCTTTCTCTTTCAGAAAAGTTTCTATTGCATTGAAGCCAGTGTTAATCTTCAAAATTTTGTATCTGCTTTTCTTTGCTTTTGTAGGTAGGTGATGAATCTAACGGATTTCTACAAGAATGAAATCTTTTCGTGTTTACTTTGTAATTGCCTCGCTGCTTCTCCTCGTAACAGCTTTGTTATTCTGCATCAATCTGTATCCTCGTCCATCCCTCGATGTTTTTTCTAACGTCCTTCCTCAGCCTAATGGTAAGTAAACTCCTATAGTGAATCTTTGTGAACTATTACAAGTTGTAGAGAGGTTTCTTTGACGAAAACTGAACAGATTATCCGGCATTGCTGTTCATCTTTAGCTTTCAGTTTTTTTAAAAATATATTTTTCAAAATTAAAATCTATTTAACTATTGGTATCCAATGATTTCATAGAATCCAAAGATAAGGCTCAACTCTAAAGCAAAACCTCAAGAATCACCTCATTCAAGGCATAAATTTTAACTATTCCGTAAACACTCCATGACAACTGAGCTATAAGTGAGAGCGGGATTTACACAAGTTGAATCTTGAAATCATTCCATTCTCGCCAAGAGGTTTTGAAAGCCTTAATTCATGAATAGTCTTGGGTTTTTGCACGAAGGACGACTGCACAGAATCATAAAGGTAAAAACATGTGAAAAGACCTTGATTTGATTGTAGTTAAATGAAATTCATTTATGTTGAATGTGCTTTGTCATGTTGTTCGCGTTTTAATAACAGATTCCTAAAATCTAAATGAAGAATATCTCTGTTATTGCTTTTCACCGTATTTTGTCTATGAATACAGTTTTATCTTGTATTTTGCGCGAAGTTATTTGAAAATTCAGCTCTTCGAATTCTTAATTTTCTATCTACTGCCTTGAAAACTATTTACTTTTGCCATGAGGATACTTTTACTCAATTAACATGCTTCTATTTGATTGAATTAACTCCTTAAATCCAATTAAAATTTCACTAGGACAATTCTCTGGAGGACATCTAGAGCTACGGCTCAACGCATTTTACGATGGTGTCGAAACTTTTGTGAATAAAACAAAAGTTTCGACGCTCGAAGTGGTCTTAGTCTCATCGGGGCAGTCTTGGATGCTCACCTAGAGATTATCAATAACAACGAAAAGTTATTATCACAGGAATACTCAACTTTCGAATCGACAAATTTTTAGAAACGGATTTTAGATCAATAATCGGCAATCACGTAAAGGACGAGCATGGGAAGGATCCTGAGACCATCGAAATAAATTTCAAGATTTTGAAGAAATGTCAGAGTAAAATGGACTGTTTGATCATTAAAATGTTTTTTATGTGCGTACTCAGACCAAAACTGAACGAACAGAGTCTATGATTCGATCCGTGCAAAAGTATTTACCCAATCGATTCACTTTTTATATTGTTTCTTCCGCCTTAAAACGTTTTTTGTCATTCTTGCCGCAATATTCTCGTATTGTTTTAATGTAAATATTTTAAAGTTTTAGTCTGTATCTCATTAGCATTTTTACAATTGATTATATGAGAGCATGATAAAAATTTTATCCTTCAATTTGAAAATGGCCGTCGAGCGGTTGTAACGTCATTGCTTTTTCACATCAATTTTTATCGCAGAATCCGTTTCTAAAAAACTGTTGATTCGAAAGTTAAGTATTCCCATGAAAATAACTTTTCGTCGTTATTGTTTGTATCAAGCTGTCTGCATATACCCGTTAGTTCTTAGAGATTAATACTCAAACTGAATAATCATATTCAATTATTTCAAAATAAAAAGGCACAGTCAGTGTTAGGATATTTCCTGTGTAAGCCAATCACCGATTGCTTAGCAGCTTCCTAACTTAAAAAGCGAGCATTTCACCGAAGAAGCATTTAACGTGTGTAGATTATGTACACGACCGGCTATAAATGATTGATTTGTGCCTGTCTACACAATTATCCCTGATGTCAAATCGTACGAATTTCAGCGGCCTCTGTGGGTGGAAAAGGCTCAAATTTGGTCTCGTTTGTATTAGCTTGGGGACAGTAGTTCTTTTGTGCGGCAATTGGCCTCGTGTTTCACCCAAGTTTGAGCGAAAGACCCGTAGTCACAATCTAGGTGCGAATTTTAAAAAAAGCGTACATGGGAAGGTAAATCCTGAGTAGAAAAGCATTCACCAGTGCACAGTTAATGACGGATGAAGAGGAAGAACGATGGACAAAGCTGGAGATGGAGAATTATACCAACACCGTTTTTTTTTTCTTAGTTAAGTGAAAAACCATTTTGATAGTCCCTTCCCTTAATCTTATTTACTTCCGTGAATTAATCGTCTTTTTTTCAGGACACTCTCTTTGTCTTAATTAAGTCACTGAATCGCCTTTTTCTTCTTATTCTTTCAAGGAGAACTGGAGCGTGAGCTGACATTTTTATATCGCAATGTTGAATCTTTTGTGCTCTTCGTTGGACATCCAAGAAGCGGTCATAGTTTGGTGGCTGCCATTTTAGATTCCCATCCAGAAATAATTATTTCGGATGAGTTTAATCTGCTTTATAAGTTTGACAGTTTCTTTAAAGATCTTAGCCAAACAGACGATGAGCGCAAGCTGAGGATATTCTATGACTTACATACTCGCTCGCGCCGACAGGCCATGTTTGGAAGTCGTTCGTCAATTTGCGACAGCTCCGTATCCTACTGCTACAACATTAAAGGAGGCTGGCAAGGTTATTGCAAAAGTAAACTTAAGGTATGAGATATTTGGAAGGGCCCATGTCATGAAAAGAACCGGATTAGGAAGTCCTGACTTCGAATTCAGTCTCTCGGGGTTTCTTGTAGTGTTCCTTTACTTCAGTTCGATTCATTTTTCCTTGGAAGTGAATGATAAATTGCAGCATTACTTTTATTATCACGCGATATACGTATATGCAGTTTAGCATTATAAAATTGATTATTTACAAATATTGATTAATGGTAAGACATTGAAGCTTTCCTATGTGGTCTACCGTTTATAGGGATACATTGCATAACGCTAAGTCTTATGGGACTTATTTCCTTTGTTTACGAAGCACGAGTAAATTATTGCCCCAAGCAATGGTCGCTTATTCACAATCGTGCGAGTAAAACTGACTATGATATAGGATCCCATGTATATTTTCCTTAGGTAATTGGAGACAAAAACGCATCTGTGACTACTGCACGTTTGCATCACGAAAAAGGGCGTCACGATTTGCGAAAACTGGTGAAAGTGCTGGGAATTCCAATTAAACTGATTAACGTCATCAGAAATCCATTTGATAACATTGCCACTATATGTAGAAGGAGACTAGGTGTGAACTCTAGAAGTCATCAAATAGTAAGTAAATATAGGGGTATATCATCTATCGTTTCTCATTGGTTTTTATCAAAGTAAACCTTTTATTTTGATTAACTGTTTTGTTTGCGCTATATATATATATATATATATATATATATATATATATCGATCCACATAAACTGTTTTAATAAAACAGCAGCAAGTTTTTATTGAGTCGCAATCTAAAACCTTATGATTTCCTTACTAAGTACGGAATGGAACCAACCTCGACCTCTAGATCGAAAATTATTTCATCAAAGTACAGACAATTAAATATCTTCATGACCTGAGGCACTACCGGATTCTCAATGTATACAGCCGAGATCTGAATATTTCGCTTGTGTCATGTAAAACCTTCTGTTTTTTTTTTTTCTTGACAGGTACGCAACACAACAGCGTCGGACTTTTGCATCGATTTTTACTTCACCAAATCACCATTGAAAGAAAAACATTCAAGAAAGACGAGCTTGTTTATCTCGTTCCTAATTCTTGTCTTCTGTTTTGAAGTCTACTCCACCGTCCGTCTCGTCAACGACGGCTTAGCATTCAGTGGTTTGGGGCCAGATTCGACAAAGTTGTAAGAATAACAAGTTACATGTCAGTTGTACAGACAAAATTGCCATTTTTCCCGGTCCTTTTCAAAAGAGGAAAGGTTAAAAATCTTGAAATAAATGTAATTTGTATATGACGGATGGTCTCACCCTTAAAAGGTGCAATAATTTTTAGAAAGTAGATACAAGAAGTCTAAATCACATTCAGCCCAGCAGGACATGTCTAGTTTAACAGAATGTTCTTAAACTTCAAGTAATCGTTAACTTGTATATTCAATGTGTCACTTTGGAAGTCAACAAACGTCACTTTATGCAGCCCATATGAATACGAGAAAAATAAAATAGAGTTGAAGAAAGCAGCTTCAAAACATGTTTAAGTTTTGGTGTGAACGGGATCTAAGACTACCGCACAAAGGTAGCTAACTATGAGTTTTTCAGTTCAGAAATTGCGGATCTTTGCACTATGCAGGACATTCATTGCTTGTGAACTTAATTTGTTGTCTGACCCCACAACTTTGACTCCCTATCGAGTTCTCAACGGCTCATTTCTCAGAATATATCGAAATCCAAACACCTGCAATAAGGATCTTTACGAGGAAATTTTGTTTTGCTATGCATCAAGTTCGAGCAATTATTCTAAAGGAAGCATATGATCAATTCTATTCGGTGAAAATCTTCTTCGATGGTCATCTGGACTCCATGGAATATCCAATGCCCCCCCCCTCTAAAGGGGGGGGGGCACCTTTACTCCTTCTTTAGATAGATAAGATAGATTCCTTATTGAAATACATCGCAGCTCGCAGAGCTGAATTACGCATTTTCGTTAAAATTCCAGTTGAATGTACAAGCTTACAAATTGAATAATACCTAAGAGCTAATGATAGTGAAGAAATGTAAAATGGTTTCCGTGTTTACATAGCCTGATGTAAACACGCGGGAGGTTGGGAGAACACGATATAAGCGTAAGAAACCACGACGCGAAGCGGAGTGGTTTCCAGCTTATCGACCTCCCAAGTGTTTACATCAGGCTATGTAAACACGGAAAGCATTTTATATTTCTTTTAGAAAATAACTAATGAAAGAGGAACGAAAACCGTGTTTACATACGCTCATGTAAAATGGTTTTATGGCCAGTCAGAGCGCGCGTACTATTTGAATTATTTTATAATAATATCTAAAAGTTTTAAAAACTATAAGCATCTTCTTGAAATCATATTTTTTAAAGTCTAATAATTTAAACAGTATTCACTAGGACGCATGAAGCCATAATAAAACTATTCTTAAATCTGTTTGTTTTACGGCGCAGTATGCTGAAGGTCGCGCATGCCTAAGATTGTGCTTGCTCTCATGTAGAGGTGCTACATGTATAGCCGCTGTCATTGAAAATACTTTCTTTGCGCTCGCAAATGTCACTGTGATGCTCCGCTACGGATGGTAGGTTCGTTAGCGCTAACGCATGCTGATATTCCATTTGCCAAGGCAAATGATTCGCATTGACCTTTTCTGAACGCGCCCTACTTCTTGCATTACGTAGGCAGGCAGAGCATAATGAAACACAGGTACAGCATAATCGATAACGGAGCGCACAGATGTGATGTAAAAAAAAACAAAGACCTCTCTGAGAAGCGCGGATGAGACAATAGAGCCTCTTAGCTGCCTTTTTTATCACTTCTGTGATGTGCGCGTTCCAAGATGGGTCAGTTAAAATAGTTATGCCAAAGAGTTTAGCATCAGTAACAACCTTTATGCACTCTCCTCCGATAACTACAGGAGGGAAATCATGACTGTCATCTTCAGTTCTGATTTTACAGAGTACAAAGTTGAATTTAAACTGTATAACAAAATGCTGATTGGACAAAACAAACGACAGTAACAGAACAATGTATGCAATTACAAGGAAAGTTTTAATTGACATGATAGAGTTGATGATTAAGTATAGGTTGTGTATATTTCTGTCGCTCCAATACCCTACATAATTCCACCCCCTTTTCTTTCTGTGTTAATTTGAACTGACAAGAATGCAATTGCCAAGCTTCTGAAAAGCTTCTCATAGTAATAGGATACAATTGAATTCAAATTGATTTTAACACGAACGTTATAATTTGAAACAATACGAGAAAATTGAGGCAAGAGTGATAAAAAACGCTGAGGCGAAAGAAACAATATTAAAAGTGAATCGATTAGGTAACTACTTTTGCACGGATCGAATCACTCTGTTTTTTCAGTTTTGCTTTAAGTTCGAGAATAAAAAGCATTTCAAAGATCAAACAGTCCGGTTTACTCAGACATTTCTCCAAAATCTTGAAAATTATTTCTCTGGTCTCAGGATCCTTTACATGCTCGTCCTTTACGTGATTGCCGATTGTTGATCGCTTGTGTTCCTCCACACGTCAATGTAACGGTCGGCTCGTGAAGCCGACATAGTCTGCAACACACAGACAACACTTATAATAACAAACAACGTTTTGTTGATTAACAATTGGAGCTTATTGTTCTTTCGGCTTGAATTGTCCTTTGATCTTCTGACTTGTGTAAACAACTGGACATCGACATCAATCTTTCGGCTGAGATCACCGAGCTGGTGTCTTACCACATTTGCTGATTTCTGGGCTTTGACCGGTAAGACAATTCTGATAAGAGCATCATGTTCATCGGATACTTGTTGTTTAGCACGTACATCCTCGGTGACTTTTAATTCAATAAAATGTCTGATGGTATTCTCTACGAGAGTTTCAGGATAATGCAGGCGAGAAAAACCTTTTTTTCAGAAGTTCACATTCTTGATGGAAAAACATCCAGCTCGAGGAGAGTTTAAAAGTACGTTTTCACCTTGTTTTCATCAGAGAATGTTTGTACTTTTCGTCCACATGGCTTTGGTAATGCAATAAAAGTCCAGTATCAGTTTTTTTCACGTAGACCTCCGTGTCTTTTCTGGGACTATATCTGATAATCATCATTCCAAGAGAGCCGTTTGCCGTTGTTCTCGAGTTCCATTGTAAAACTGAGTGAAGGGTGGATTTCATTCAGTGTTGAAAAGAAAACGGAGGCAGATGAAACATCGGGCATGTTGCTAAGGGTGTCATCGACCTTCTATGTAAATATTTTTAATTAGAAATTTAGTTAGTATCCTATTGACATTTTTTCTATGGATTATATAAGCACATGATAACAATGTTATCCTTCGAATTGAAAATAACCACTGAGCGGTCGAGACGTCGCCCTTTTTAAAATACTTAACATGTCATCTCCTTTTGGAGGGCTGAAGAATAACTGGATGATTCAGTTTAAAAGATAAAAAAATTGTCAATTTAGATGCAAATTTTAGTTAATTCAAGTTCCAATCGAGCTTTTACACATTATTTATCAACTATTAGATTCTACACATTGAATGCTTTTTGTCAACATTTGACAACTTTAAGATTAAATGATCGGTGGATAAAGGAATATTTGTCAAGTTTGAAGAAAAACTACGCAGAGCATTCTTTTTATTTGCAACGAATACCCTGGAAGCCAATAAATATTATCATAAATAGATCATTTGCTACCTTGGCAGGAAAGTAAAATTCTAAATATTATGATTTCGATCGACTGATGGCTACTAGTAAGTGAATAAAAACCTATTGAAATGATTAATACTGTGTATAAAGATATATGTCAACAAACTTTATCTCAACATTACAGCACCTTTCTCTTTCAGAAAAGTTTCTATTGCTTTGAAACCGGTATTAGTCTTTTTTTGTCTATGAATACAAATTTATCTTGTATTTTGCACGAAGTTATTTGTGAATTCAGCTCTTCGAATTATGTATTTTCTATCTACTGCCTCGAATAACGAGAACTGGATCATTAAAAAAATCAAGAGAAAACGTGTTCTAATTACTAGAAGGAATATGTCGCAAAAATCCACTTCAGACGACATCTTGGCGTCGGGAAGCTTGACAGAATTTTATTGTTCGCATTTACAGTCATTACATGTCCTGGGTTTTTTAATTTTCCACGCACGCAAACCCGCCTGGATGTAACAATTAATGATGAATGCACAAGCGAAAGAAACACGCGCGGCGGAAATAATGTATTGAAAAAGGTACACCAGGTAAGATTCAATAGGTTATACCGTGATGTCTTACTAAGTTTTTTGGTTTTTTATATCTTTTGACAAAGATGAATATGAATATATGGCACCCAGCACGAGATGAGTTGTTGCGTGCAGTCCTTCAGAGACTTTATTACCTCAAAAGACACGTAGGCGTCAATTTACCAGTTCATCCCTGCTGATAATCTAGTTTCACCTGTCAAATTGGCTTATCCTGTTGATAGTGGTTATTGAGTAATACCTACATTTGCATCATAAAACACGTTTTTCGTCTGCCCTTTTTCACAAGATAAACTCAGCTGATCACATCACATCCCGTCTCTGTCTATGACATGAATGGGGTATATAGGTTAGCTTTTATTCCCAGGTAAGACATGAAAGGATTCTTCGCTTTGCTAACCAGGCATGAAAGCGCTTTTTTTGCTACGGATTAAAATCTTTCCAAAGAAAGCTTTCACTTGTATTTAATTTCGGTCTTGGATCTCTGATAAGGTGCTCTCTCTGGTTTCCAGATTCTCGTGGAAGAATAAAACTGGCAACGATATGCCTGCTCAAGTTTTAGCAACATCATTAATCCGACCTCTTTCGGAGTTTCTTTAGTTTTTGGCTTCGTTGCTTTTTCTGATTTCAATTTTGTTTACTTTTTCAGTTTTTTTTTCTACGTATTTTGTTTTTCCCTTTTGGTGTTCCTCTTCTCGAAATAAATCAATTTTTCTACATTGCAAGAAGTGCAGCCTTAACCGCCTTCATATGCAAAATGTCATTATACTATGATACAAAAACAATAATAATGAATATTATGATTAGAGTAATAATAACAATAATACTTATAAAAGTGATCATAATAAAACTTGAAGAACAAAAAAATTTCATGGTACTCGGTAAAAAAGATTTAACGAAGGATTTGATGGCAACTCTTGTTTGGTTTTGGATGGAA